TTGCTCTGCAGATACCACTGTTAAATGTAGGTGATGACACATCCTTTTCAGGGACGGTATGGTGTGCACAATTTTCACAAGTTACGCTAGTCTCCTCAGGGAAAAGAGCTACAGCTTGTCCCATCAGTCTGCCTCGCAGTCCAGTTTAGATGCCAGCTTGTTGACCCTTTGTGTTTCCAGGCCAATCAACCTGGGCCAGTACAAGCAGCATATAGAAGCTGAGACACACACGTATCTCGTATCGTAATTGCTATAGGCTGGAAGGGGAAGGCAGGCAGCAAGGAGCATGGGACAGGATAGGAACATGTGGGAAGGGAAGGAGAAGTCAGCAAACAGGCTGTGGAGGGGGTGAGGACAGCAAAAGACTGTGCAGGGAGGGCAGGCGAGGGGGACCTGCAGGGCCAGAGTTGGAGAAGGTAGCACAACAGCAAGGAGGCAGGAAAGGGAAAGGTGGGAGAGCTCAGTGGCTGGTGCCTCAGGGTCTCCATGAGGGGACAGCAAGAGGGAAGGAGCTGGTTGAGGAATGAGGGGTGTAAAAGTAGTGAGCACTGTAGGCAGAAGGGCAGCAGGAGAGATGGGGAAAGCCCAGCCTGCTGTGGTGCATTGTTTTTAATGTGCTCTATGGCAATTGGACCTGTTCCTGCAGTGTGGGACCGCAGGTCAGTGTGAGCCAATGCATCTGTCCAACAGGCTGTCCCTCAGGAGCTGTGACTGAAATAGCCACTGTCCCGGGGCCAGCCATGTCCCATGCCTGAGGACAAGGTTGTGCAGCCCTCTCTTTGCTTGCCTGCAGTTTTCCCTGCACGCACCCACGTGGAAGTAAAATTTAAGCTGTGGGCTCTGCCCTGCTGGGGGTGAGTACCACCCAGCACGTGTCGCTTCGGTCCTTTCACCAACGAGGCCGATGTGCCCGAAGTGTGGAAACATGTAAGAACAGAACAGTTTCCTAGACTGCTGCTTGAAATGCTTAAGGCAATATAAGCACTTAGAAAGGTTTTCTCTTTTAAAACTGAGAAAACAGATCACCCAGGCTAGGAAAGATTGAAAGTCTTGTCTTCAATCTAGCTGCTGCTGAGTGGAGTCCATCCCACTGGAAGCCAGGAACTTGGGTGCCAGATATCTACAATGACAGAGTGAATCCTGCTCCTATAAAATGGGCTCTCCCAGTTTTCATTTCTCTCATCTTAGCCCTTATCACAAACTTTTTGATAATTCTGTTGATTAAGTGGTGGGCTTTCACAGCCTATATTTGAAATGGTTTATTCTCTGCATACTGAATTTCAGCAGGCCGCTAAGGAGGTGAGTTTGGGGTTTCTGTTTGGATGTGTCAAGCACTTCAAAGTATTCATCCTAACACATGTTCAGTGCAGCCAGTATAAACCTGTCCTCATGTAATATATGTGGCTCATTCTCTATTCTCTGGCCTGCTGTGGCAGAATGAAGTTCACTGTGGCACCTCACTAGAACACAGTCTCTTCCTAAACTCTTTATAATTGTGTGATCGAGCCCTCAGCCTGGGATGTATAACAGGATGATCAAACTGCTTTTTTTGTTTTGCTTGCTTTTACAGAATCCCAACATGTTTAATGCCTGAGAAACAGAACTGTGGAACGAGAAGAAAAGGTTCCAGGCAGGGATGCTAATAACAAGAGAACACAATCACTCCTGTCTTTGCAGCAGAATTCCTCTCAGAAGTTGGAACCTGTGGTCTGAACTGTTGAAGTTGTGGGCAGGCTCAGCCCTGGCTGGTGCCCACAGGAACTGAGCCCTGGCAAGCTGCAGTGCTGCATCATGCCAAATGCCCCCCAAAAGGGAATCTTAAACTCCAAATTAATGGGTACTTCCAGTCTTAAGGTCTCTCTACTTCTGTTCTTCTTCCTTACAAAGGCGGTAACACCTTCACATCTCCTGAAAGGGCCACTGGTCATGTAAAGCCATTGGTAGTCTTGATATGCTAAAGAACAGGGGCAAAACAAAATGCTGAAAGGCTGTTTTTCAAATATGTTTGATCAACCCTGTACACTGAACCAAGAATAAAGGTCCTGGGGACTCATGGGTCCAGGATCAAAGTATATGATTACAGAATTATGGAATTAAGGACTGTGTTTTAGTACTCATCAACAGGCAAGGGTGAATATTATCCCTGCATTTTCTGCCATGTGAGTACTTAGCTTTACTTTTAGCTTTTAAGCATCCTTTGTGTGTGTGTAATTTGCCATGTGCTACAGCCTTATTACTTTTATTAAAATTGTTCTGGAGATGTTCATGGGTCTTCACCCTCGGCCATCCCCCTGTGATGAATGCTTCCTGAATTACTATGGGTCACATGTACAGGAACAAGAAAGGACCCAAGCCTCTCATAACCTCACCTAAATGTGCCAATTTTCCTCCTACTTTAGGGGAGACATTTACAGTAAAATACTTTGTCCATCTTTAGTAATATCTTCAAATTATCTTATGTCTGGAATGGACATCACTGACTTTTTATAGGTAGAAAAACATCCACTCTGGCCCAGAGTTGTATCATGCCTCAGCAAGGGGTAGCATTGAAGTAATATTCATGTTGCTGCCAAGGACTGGACTAAATCTTCCATTGGAATATTATTTTAGAAGTGAGTAATGCACAGTGCTTTTGAAGTTCCTTTGAGTTTGGAAAATTTGGGTTATATGTAGAAACTTCAAGTACCTGTAAGTTTTTATTCTGTATTATGAACTCTCAGCCCAGGAAAATTCCAAGACTTACTTACAAATTTTGTTGTATCTGAAGAAAAAAGGAAAAGCAGAAAACTCAGGATTTTCTGGGAAACAGTATATTTGAATAGATTTCATTTTGAACAGCATGTCATTGCTTTTAATATTGTACATATCAATGTTGTACATGTCAATACTGTACTAATATAGAACATTTCTAAAAGCTTTTCAGTTTCAATCATCATTTTCCAACAGAAAGCCTGTCCAGTGCAAATTTTCTAACCAACTCCATCTAAAACTGTTTGCAACAAAATGTTATCTGCACACATGTGCCCAAGAAGGGTAATTTTATTGCACTGCTTCTCTGGCTAACTTCAATGATAACAAAGTGAACCATTGTCCTAGACATACTGAAGAAATAAAATTGCTTGGAGTTCTAATTAATGCCAACATCCGAGTTCACAGTACAAAGTTAAAAGAAAAAAGGTACTTAACTATTTTTTCATGATGTTTCACATTTTACAGAATTTGGCCTAAGTATCATTTCTACAAGTGCAGCTGAAAGAGTGAACAGAATTTCTACTGACTTTAGACACAGGCGACCCATCACACTATCTTATACCATGAAGGTAAATACTCTTAGCTCCATAAGCCAAACTGGTTTTTGTCTTCCTCCTTTTATTCTTTTATGAAAAAATTTGTTCAATGTAAATGACCTGCAAATATTTATTTTATTTTAAGATGCACAATATTCTTTAGTCTGCTTTATTAATGTAGTTCATGTGTTAGGGAAGACTAAGCTTGTAAACTTTCATCCCACTTCTTGAGCAAGATAAACTGCATGAAATTCGTATAGAAAAATTATTAAAGGAAAAATGTAAATTTATTATCAAATCTGTTCAGGAAAATCATGCTTAATCTCCTCTTTCCATTGCTAGTAAAGCAATATGCATAATATTTACTAAAACTAAATGAGCAGTTTGGCTAAACATCATGCATCAGTTCAGGTACCCAACTGGTACTAACCAAAAGAGATGATGTTGGACAAGAGCAATGCTTCAAATTATTTTCGCTTACATTTCCCTTAAATACTGCCTTGACTATCTAAAAATAAACCCACGTTGTGTTATCATTTAATAAGGTTATATAAATGTGCTTCTCTTCCCTGTGCCAAAACCAACCTTTTCTTTGTCTTTCTCTCTTCCTCTCTCTGACCCTCTCTCACAACACACGTTAGCAAATATTGCTGCATATTTCAGAAAACATTGCTAGTTCACAGTCATTCACTGCTATAGAGAAAAGAAAAAAGTGAAGTTTAACATTTCATTCTGTAGTCCTATATTACATTGGAATATACCTGTCTACAAAAATAATATCAGATTCACATATCACTTGTTAATGGACATGAATGTAGAAATACATTTGAAATTAAGAATTGAAGGACACTCCAGCTGCACATTTGTTAGCTACAGCAAGTAATAGCCATAACTAAAAGAGCCACTAGAGGCCTTCGCTTGCCAGGGGCTGTCAGAAGTGATGAAGACAGAGCCCCGCTGCCCACCCAGGGCTGGTTCTCCCTAAAGCTCTGGGGGAATCAGCTCACACCCTCCATCAGAGCATAATTCTATGTGTGAAAGAAAATCTCTCTGGAGCTCCAAATGGACATGTCAGGCTGATTCTTCCTGATAATCCATGAAAAAAACAAAGGGCTGTTAATAAATAATCCAGTTGTGTGATTTGTTACAGGCAAGGCGTGACATTGCAGGAACAATGCTCCCCATAAGTGCCGTCACACACCAACCTTCCTACTGATCCCAGCCTCCTGCAAACACCTTGGCGGGATAACACTGCAGTTCTGCTAGAAAGCCGTGAAAATGAGAGGAAGTCCGTGGAACAGCGGCGAGGGTGTTTTCTTTACAGGCCCCGTGGCAGCTCAGGATTAAATGGATTTTCATTGTTCTTTCTCTAATGCAGTTTGGACACGACGTCGGTGTTAATGCACTCGGGGTTTTATTTGTCGCCTCCCCCCTGCCTGTGAGGCTGGTATTCTCCTGCTGGCCGCCTGCTCTAAATATGGCCATAGCCAGTGTGTCAATAATCCCCCTCTTTAAGGGACCTGCAAACACTACTGTTGGGACATTCTTGCTGTTCAGATGTCTAGCTGACGTCTGCTGCCTAAAACGGAGCATGCTTTCATCCCTTCGTGCATTGTCGTAAGCCCCTGATGACTACTCTTAAAAGGGTGTCTCTGCTACACAGGGAAACAGTTGCTGACCAAACGAGACACAGCTTGCTTGCTTCAGCCTTCTTGAATGCCTAGTCACTGCAGGTTTGTACCAGCCTGACCAAGCAGGACCATGTCTACCTTTGGCTACAGAAGAGAGCTCAGTAAATATGAAGACATTGATGAGGATGAGCTCCTTGCTTCTCTCACTGAAGAGGAGCTCAAGGAGCTGGAGCGGGAACTGGAGGACATAGAGCCCGACCGTAACCTGCCAGTGGGACAACGGCAGAAGAGCCAGACAGAGAAAACACCAACAGGGACTTTCAGCAGGGAAGCGCTGATGGCCTATTGGGAGAGGGAAACCAGGAAACTCTTAGAAAAAGAGAGATTGGGTGCATGTGACAAGGTAAGATGTTGAGGCGTTCGCTGTTTCCAGGAAATATTTGGGTTTACTCTTGCCTGGCATGATCTCACTGGCTGTTTTCTTTCAGTCTCTTGTAGCATTTTTAAGAACACTGTTAGCCATACTTTTGTGCCAGCTAAAGCACTGTGTATTAGCTCAGAGAGCTTTTGCTCCATCTGGAGGTATCTTAAATGCTCAGTTGAGAAGAGAATCTTAGAACTTATTGCCAGGCAGGGGTGTGGACTTCTGAATAATATTTAATTTTGTTTAAAAGCTAAAGAAAGTGATTCTTCCTTTCCTTCAAGAAAAACCCCAAAAAACAAAAAACAACCAGCATTGACTGCAGAGAATCAGGTGAGGAAGATAATTTTAAATACGTGTTATGTCAAAAGTCGAGTAAGTGGCTGCCATGTTTCATGCTTGCTGGAAGGAAGAAGCTGCATTGCAGACAGAGTGTCTGTT